AACGACGAGTTAGATTTACTCATGAAGCGAGAAAATCTCCTTGAAGAGCGATTATCTTTTGATACCACATCTTATCTCTCTGAGCCACTAAGTCAGTTGACACAATGGAAAGCGAGTACCCATCACCTAATCGATCAAATATCTGAAATAAAACAACAAGAAATTGAACAAGTTATGTCCGAAAAACTGGCGGAGCAGCTGTCGTATTTGAACCAAATTAAACAGAAAACAGCAAATATTAGTCTAAATCAATTGCAGAGAACACCAACAGATCAGCTGACGAGTTCGTGGCCAAAGTGCAAAAGATCATACCGAAATACAAGCCCGATTTTGTCCCGAAGAAAACTATTTCAGTGATACAGCCTCTCGATGGTAAGTCATCCTTTTCATATTTCTGGAATATTTAACCAAACTTTCTTATTTCTTCCCGCAGTGTACTGGAATCGGCAATACAAATACATCGTTCGTCAGATGTACGACCACGTTGGTCTCTACGATTTCGATCTCAACCACGCTCAACGAAATAATGTCATCAAGCTGAATTCTCTGGTGTACAACCAGATCAGCGCGCCGAAATTTCAGTCAATGACACGTTACGCTTGGTTTCAGTCGGGTTATCTCAAGTCAAATCCGGGACCATTCGAAAACATGCAGCAAATCTGCTTCTCGTTCGACTCTAACTGCTGCCATTCAAGAAATTGCACCAGCATCCCTTTCATACAATGCGCATTTTGCTCAAAAGTTCTGTGTTTCAACGAATTCTTCGACGGATATCATTTTCACTGATTTGGACGAACCGCAAGTGCCTTTCTGAAAAAAAACAGTTTCTTACTCCAAAAAAAGACGAAAAACTTTGAAAAAGACAGAAATATATATTCTACTTTCCCCTTATTTCGAGCAGAAAGAAAACCATTTTTGCATGTTAGATTTCGTTTGAAAAAAGTCTTTTATCGTATGTTAACAGTTTAGAAATTTCCGTAAACACCAAAACGGCGAGGAAATGGTAGAACAGGGTGTGGGACATGAAGAGAGCTAGAGAGAGTGGAAGAGTTTTCTCCAATGGAAAGACTTAAAAAGCCAAGAACGTGTGTATGCCCTGAAGCAAAGTTTTGCTGACCCAAAGTCCTTCTAGGACCTATTAGAAAAATGGCAAAATTGTTTTTCATAGGTTTTTCGGCAGGCTCTTTCATATGAGCAAGTTAGAAAATGTTTTTTGAAGAAAAGGGTTTTCTGGCCTGGAAAACCGCTTTTCCAGAAATCCGGTCTTAGGCCGGGCTTCCTGGACTGTCATATTCGGATTCAGTATACTTGATTGCCTATTGTCCACGATCTGACGGCATAAAAGCGGTTAGACAGTTGGTTTCCTTACCTCGTTAGTACTGACAGCCATTCCTTGAAAACTGAACATCTCTCTATCTCGCAAACGAAACGCACTTTGAGGTTGAAACTTTTAGCGTAAATACTAGATTAAGTCAGGTATTGTGTATAAAAGTTTCAAGCGAAAACGTCAAAGATTGACGGGGTTAGGATTTTTTCAATGTATTGGATTTTCTGCTGGGAAAAATCGAAAAACGGGAATAACTTTTGAAAGAAGCAAATTCCGCACGAATCCTCTCAGGCTTTTTCATACCTCCATATGACCTATCGATCGGCATATGAACGAAGGAAATCAGAAGGGATCACCCGAGAACATTCCCTCGTCAGTAAAATAAATTGACAGCCCGGGAGTGAAAGTGTTCGATGTGGTTCCACTAAAATTGTACTGTGAGTTTGTTTTGCAATCTGCGCGCATTTTGATTGTCGTTCAAACATAATCTCCTTCTAAGACCGTAGGAAAACCCAGTCTAATAAATGATTCTATTATTTCTAAAGAACGTTGGTAAACTTTTAACTCAAATACTGAAAAACTTTATTAGAAAAATCAGAAATCTCCACGATAGGGTAGGAAATAAACAAAGTTGACGAAAAATACTCTGGACTAATGAGAAAAAGCGCAGTTTAGTTACTAGATAATGTACATTGTGAGGTGTTTCTTTCGATTCATCTGTTACGAACGGTATCAGCAACAGCACCAGCTGTAAAACCAGTTTTGAGTCCCATCACGAATCCCACAGCAGCACCAAGAGGACCATCAACTAAACCACCCACAATGGCACCAGTCACTGCACTGGTTGGAGTTCCTGTCACTACACCAGCATTTCGTTGTAAAGCTAGAGAAACGAAAATGGTAAAGGAGTTTCTCAGCAGAAATCTTTAGTCAAAAGGTCTAAAATCTCTTGACCTCAAAATCACGAAGGATTGAAGACTCACATTTCTTATAAAACGTTTTGCAATCTTAGCCTGCTTATAAAGATACGTTTCCAAAGGTTATACATCAATTTTATCGTTTATATGAAAATCTATAAATTTTGCATTGCAGAATTGCTTCTTTCGACATAAGGTGCAGCTAATGCAAAATTCGAGTGGGTTTTATTTTTCAATTTGTCATACATATTCTGATTCGTCTTGTTCAGCTGATCACGAATATCACCTTTAAAATATTTAAAAGTCCTTTTTTCATGGA